GAGGAGGAGAAAGAAGAGAAGAATGACAGGGTGAGGAGGAGGCGGAGTCTGTTATCACCTGGAGCTGCAGGTTTGGGTTGTTGATGCGCCCCGCTCCGTGCAGGGCGATCATCACAAAGGACGTCAGATACACCGACTGGTCGAGTCCTCTGTTCCTCGACTGCAGCCAATCAGAAGATCAGAACCATGTCAAATTATAGAGGACCACAAGTGTCATGGAAACAGTAATAAAGCATTTCATTAATTAATAATTGATCTATAATAAATAGATGCGTGCCACTTCGTTGGTACAAACGAGGTAAAACAATACAAATTAGCCGTGCCATGTTATGTTATCTTATCATAATGTATCGTACCGAAACGTATCATAACATAAAACAATGTATCGTATCATAACGTAACATTTAGGAACGTAAGGTAAATAGGAACATAACGTAATATATTGTAACGTTACATATCGTAACATATCATAATGTATTATAATGTAAAACACCACTTATTGTAACATAACGTATCGTAATGTAACGTTACGATAGTGTTATGTAATTTGTTTTATCTTGTTTTTGTAAACCTCTTTTTGATTTTAACTATTTATTGAAGTTTAATATTTTGTTTTTCATATTTTTTATTGTCCATTAAAACATAAAATAATGAATTACTTTAATTTAGTTTATTTACCTATAGACCAATTCAATCATATGTGAACAAATGTATAACTGTTTATCTTTATTCCACATTTAGTTATTAATTAATGAAATGCTTTGTTGTTATTTCAAAGACAGCTGTGGTCCTCGTGGACGAGGAGTGTGTTGCTGACCATGATCTTGTTGGCTGTGGTGAGGGATTTTTCTCTGAAGGATCCGTCTGGCTGCTGAGTGTTGTGGATCAGCCAGGTGACAGAGTTTGACAGAGACTGGTGGTCCACTCTGATCACCTGATCCGCCATAATCAAGGCCTGCACCACCCGGGCGGTCATCCTGAGACACAGAAGGATTTCTACCAGATCAGCTGTCTGTCTGTCTGTAACTGTTACTATCAGTTCTTATTCTCTTACAGACTCAGGCTCTGTACCTGTTGCCCCCTACCACCAGCAGGTGGGCCTCAGTCTCCATAAACCAGTAAACTCTGTACACTATAGTCCAGGTTGTCATGCCGACGAGATCACTGTAAACTCTCTGAATATCACTGCATCATTTAAAATGTTTTTTTCCTCAAGCACATGAAGCGCCCAGGCTGAGTGCCTCTCTCTCTCCCTTCTCCTTCTTCTTCTCCTCCCTGTTCCTCCCTGTTCCTCCCTGCAGCTCCTCCCTGTTTCTCCCTGCAGCTCCTCCCTGTTCCTCCCTGTTCCTCCCTGCAGCTCCTCCCTGTTCCTCCCTGCAGCTCCTCCCTGTTCCTCCCTGCAGCTCCTCCCTGTTCTGTTTTTCTCCCTTTATTTATTTATGGAAGTCATCTATCTAAATCTACAGCAGGAACAACAAGCTGTCAGTCTGTAGTAGTGTATACCATCATGTCATGTCTTGCTATGTTAGCATTTTCTTTGTCTTTATCTTGCTTCACCAAATATTTAAAATATTTATTAAGTAAAAAGAAACAAAAATAAAGACGAAGGTGTGTTCTGACCAGGTGCTGGAGAGCTGATTCGTCCACCTGCTGTAACTGGAGTCTGAACGTCTGAAGGAGCTGATACTAACCAGACCTAGACACACACACAAACACACACACACACACACAAACACAAACACACACACACACACACACACACAGTAAATAACACTGAATTAAACCCGTCACATTAGCATCGGGTGTCCTCGGCGTCTCCTCGGCGTCTCCTCGGCGTCTCCTCACCCTGACTGATCTTCAGTGACAGTCGTGCGGAGTTGCTCAGGACGTCTCCTCCCACGACGCCCCAGCTGCTCGTGGTCTCCAGATACTGATACACGTGGATGAAAAGGAGGAGTTCTTCCAGCTCGCGATCTGCTGACCCGGTCGGCAGGTTGATGAGCTCTCTGAGGCCGTCAGGGTCGTGTACCACTGACACGATCTCCTCTAGAACTTCACCTGGTTCATCAACACACACAGTCGCTGAATCACACATGCACATTTAATTATACCAATAATAATGACTGAAACATGAAGCATCAACATGAAGAACCAGAAGCTGCAGTTCCTCTAACGACCACTAGAGTCTGGCTCCAACAGTGAGTCAGTCCCCATAGACTCCCATGTTAAAATGTCCAACTTTACAGCAGAAATCAACATGTTTACAGCCTGGTACAGAAACTGGTTTCCACATATCTAATTGTTTCAAGTCGTCACATATCATTTTGTGTCGCATCATATTGCACCTTTTCATGTCATATCGTTTCCTGTCATGTCGCGTCATATCGTGTCATATCGTTTCCTGTCATGTCGCGTCATATCGCGTCATATCGTGTCATATCGTGTCATATCGCGTCGTGCTGTTTGGTGTCTTCTCGTGTCGTACTGTTTTGTATAGTTTCATTTCATATCATTTCGTGTTGTCCTTCCATGTCATGTCATATCGTGGAGTCGCGTCGTATCATGTGTTGTCACGTTACGTCATGCCGTATCGTATCGTGACATTTCATTTCACGGCGTATATTCCACCAGCAGCATTTCAAACAGCGGGAGCTGCACCATGCTGAGAGAGACAACTGAGCAAGGTCATCAGACTTAAACAGCCTCAGTTCTCTTATTGTTTGTTGCACTTTATTCAGTAGCTTGTTCACTGCTGCACAAACAGCAGCTCACCACAAATGTTTCTCAGTGGACATTTTGATGGTATCACTTGATCTTCCTCAGCAGACAGAGTTGCCCGGCTGTCACAATCTGTTCTCATTAACATCTGCACATGTTCTGCTTTATGTGACCGTCACATCCACTCCCTCGTGGGTCTGTAACTTAGCAACCACAGCATATCTTACCGCTGATAGTCAGCATTCTCTCCACAGCTGTGTTGGGAATGATGTTGGCTGGCAGGTTGTTCTTCAGATGCACCGTTTGCTTCGCTTTACCTGCAACGGCATCAAAACACAGAACTTCAACAAACTCCTGCCTTCAGAGCAGAGCAGCAGCACGGAGCAGTGACACACAGACGCACCGTAAAGTCCCCGAGGGTCAAGGGTTCCTCCAGAGTACACGTGGTCTCTCACGCCCTCGGGCTGCGAACACAACCAAGGGAGAAGATGACGACCTGATTTTTAACTAAATATCTTTGGACAAATAAAAAACAGTTTCATTATATCAACTTGGAACTGTCATGGAAATTTTTTGATGCTATTTAATGGCCCAAAACAATTAATTGATTAATGCAGAAAATAGTTGATATATTAATTGATAATGAAAATGATCATTAATTGTTTCAACTGAATCCCACAATCCTACGTGACATATGGACTATTAAAGTATTTTTATGCCTTTATTTGAGATATGGGGACAGGAAGTGAGGGGATAGAGACGGGGGGTCCTCGGCTCGACTCCGCTGCCTCACTGTATTTCTGACCTGTAACCTGTTGACTCTTACCTGTGCTCACTGCGTGTTTTCCACCTGCACACTTCGGCTCGTGCTGTTTTTAATGTCTACGTGCTCATGTTATGTCGTGTTGTATCGTAACGTATCGATTCGTTTGGTGTCGTAACGTTTCAAACAGCAGAAGCTGTGTAACACTGAGCAAGGATTTCAGATTCTAACAGCTCTAGTTCTCTTATTGTTTGTTGCACCTTATTCAGCAGCTCGTTCACTTTTGACTTGTAAATCACCAAATCTGGGGTTTTACTGGGGTGGAATATTTGACTACTGTTGTCTTTTACTTTTTTATATCCACTCATATCCATCCATCCATGTACCAACCACCACTCTGAGCTTCTTCCTCAGGATGTCTCCGCCGCCCGTGCGTGTCTTCAGGGTGAAGGTCAGGTTGTGCTCTCCAGGCTCCAGGCCCAGCACTGTGAAGGTCACTTCGCCCGCCCCCCCTTCAGACAGACGGGACCAGTGGCAGGGCGTGGAGCGCAGCCCCTCTCCCCCGGGAGTCGGCTGGGAGTTGAGCAGACAGATCCCCGGTCCGGCCGTCAGCGTCACACAGAACTGAGGAAGACACGACAACCACGTTCAAACACTGTGTCCTTTAGCACTCCTTGACTACAGCTCCTAGTGGGCTCTGAGCATCATGGGATATGTAGTTGAGTGTGGAGCGTGGTTGGTACCGTGATGGCCTCAGCCTGTTGGTTGTACACTGAGCCCGACAGCTCCACCTGTTCTCCTCTGACCACCTGATAGGGCAGCGGGACGTCCACGCTGAGCGGCTGACTGACCGGCACCTGGACCGGCTCTGCAACACAAATACCTGGAGAACAAACAACAACCACATCAGTTCCATTAAATACGACTTTATCCACCCCCGTAAGCCAAGGCAAAGACATTACGGTCATTTCACCCTGTTTAGTTTTAACTCTAGGCTGCGCTGACTGACCAGCTCCTGCAGCTCTTACAGACCTAGGCTCAGATACATGGAACATTTCTGGAACGTGTTTAGGGTCCAGACCATTTAGTGATTTATAGACAATCAGTAAAACTTTGAGCTTAACTCTGTATCTGACTGGAAGCCAGTGAAAGACCTGAGAACCGGAGTAACACTCTGTTCTGCTTTAGTCAGAACCAGGAGAGCGCTGTAACAATCGACTCTGGGAGATAGAAAGGCATGAATGAGTCACTCCCTCGAGAAAGTCTCGATGTCCCCATCGTAATAATTAACGCAAAGTCAATCGCTCCCCGTGAACTCTGTGCTCATTTCATTTCTGTCCTATCACAACTTTTCCTCAAGTTTCCCTCCAGTTGAACCAATCAGACCAGTCCCTGACCAAAACCTTGACGGTGTCACCAGACATGTCACGTTCACCAACAAACATCACTGTTAAAGACGTGTGAAGACGTTCAGCCATGGTTTACATGAAAGGGTTAAACAGGTCTGTACAACACTGTGGAGGAACCACAGGTGTAGAGCTGCCGAAGCCTCCGGAACGACGCTCCACTGCCTCTGTTCTCCAGAGGAAATAAAATATCTACAGTCACATGATCACGTTGATGTTTTATCTACATTTGAAGAGGTGAATTAAATGGTTAATTAGTAAAGATGAAAAGACAGAAAACATCCTTTCATTCATCATTCACTCTGATCAAACTGTTTCTTAGGCAGAAATGGGGGTGGGGGGGGCCTACCTTATAAGTTGATAAGTTGAGGTGATTGTAAAGATCAGCTCTACCTGTGATGAACACAGAGCAGAGGAGCAGAGTCTCTTCTTCTTTATCCCTGTAAGATATCCCTATAAACTTCTGTCTGAATATAATTTATTCTGATCTCTCACTCAGTTCATTATTTCTATTTAATTATCAATTTACCGACTCGACTCTCTCTCATGTTTTCTTGTTTCAACATTTCAGTCCTGTTTGCTTTGTTTTCGTGGTTAAAGGAGGATTCACTGTGTTATAAATACAGTTTAAAAAATAAAAGCTCAGTGTGAGAGCAGTCGGATGCTTTTCCTCAGTCCTGATGAATTCTCCTTCACATCTTTGACCTCATGACGTTTTCCATCGAGGTGGAGGAGAAGTAGAGAGGAGGTTCTTTTGACTTTTCGACCGCTGCTCAGGACAATTGAAGCCCAACATGTCGCACAGCCATGTATCTACCGTAGCCCAGAATGGACAAACCAAACACTGGCTCTAGAGAGCACCTGAAGGACCTGTAGATTCTCCTACATCCACCCTACATCACCAAGACACGAGGAGTGTTTTATTCTGAAAACTCTAGGGTTGTGTTTTATTTTGAAAACTCTGGGGTTGTGTTTTATTCTGAAAACTCTGGGGTTATGTTTTATTCTGAAAACTCTGGCGTTGTGTTTTATTTTGAAAACTCGGGTTGTATTTTACTTAGAAAACTCTGGGGTTGTGTTTTATTTAGAAAACTCTGGGGTTGTGTTTTATTCTGAAAACTCTGGGGTTGTGTTTTACTTTGTAAACTCTGGGTTTGTGTTTTATTTTGAAAACTCTGGGGTTGTGTTTTATTTAGAAAACTCTGGCGTTGTGTTTTACTCTGAAAACTCTAGGGTTGTGTTTTATTCTGAAAACTCTGGGGTTGTGTTTTATTCTGAAACTCTGGGGTTATGTTTTATTCTGAAAACTCTGGCGTTGTGTTTTATTTTGAAAACTCGGGTTGTATTTTACTTAGAAAACTCTGGGGTTGTGTTTTATTTAGAAAACTCTGGGGTTGTGTTTTATTCTGAAAACTCTGGGGTTGTGTTTTATTTTGAAAACTCTGGGGTTGTATTTTATTTTGTAAACTCTGGGGTTGTGTTTTACTCTGAAAACTCTGGGTTTGTGTTTTATTTTGAAAACTCTGATGAATCACAGTGTTACTGACCTTGTTGTCTTTGCTAGCAGCTGCTGTTCACTTACATTCTCTGTTTTAATGCTACAACTGTCTTTGCTAAGGAGACAATCTACTTCCTGTTTACACTAGCTCGCACATGCTCAGTTTGAAATGAGGGAATGAACAAATGGAAATATGAAGATGGAGGGATGCAGAACATGAAGGCGGAATGAGGGAAGTAAAGAAGCTCACCGTCCTTGAACATGCCGATGGCCTTGATCTCCCAGGTGGTGAGAGAGTCTGGTAGAGGCCTGCTGATAGACGTCTGGCCTGGACTACAAACACAAACACAAGGTTAGGTCTCAACATAGGTGGAGACAAAACATAACAAAGACACTTTACTAAGATATAAGATCTGTATTTACATCTAAATAAACCATACCCAGTAACAGATCAGACTAAAAGTAAACTGTACGAAGTGACTGAACAGAAAAACGAACTATATTTTTACATGAATATGAATATATTCAGTAATTAGTACAACACAGAGACTCTGACAAGTCGTTTCTATTCGATGCGTCTCGATCAATGAGCAACAGAAAGACAATGGGAAATGAAAATCTGAAGAGGCCATGAGTCATATTTCAAGGTAAAACAATATATTTGATAACCCATTAGCTAACGTTTGACAACAGCTAACGTTAGCATTCAACATCTGGCAAATTCATCTGCTCGTTTATCAATGTGGTCAAAGGAAAGAGAAGTAAACAAGTCATGTTTTTTGACCATCTCGTCGTTCTCCCACAGGATTCATTCAGAGACATTAAAGTGCTCAAGGCTTCCCACCCTTAGCATGACGCCCCAGGAAAATGGCCGCCGTGTGAGTATGGTCTATTTGGCATTTGGTGTCACAAAAACATTTCTTCAGTCTAACAGGGACTCTTGCTTTAAGCAGCTGAAGGTCACCTTCACTCCACTGAAACAACTCTCAGTTGGGTTTTGCTCTAGTCCCCCATTTCACTAAAGCTGCTTTTATTTTTTCATCTATTTGTCCAACAAACAAACAGAGAGTCAGAGGTGTGTTTGTTTTATGTCACCTGACGCGCTGCACCTCCCACAGCCAGCTCTCTGGAAAGGCGCTCCGCACCAATGTAGGAGTCTGGTCAAAGTCCGCACCCATCTCTGTACACACACACACACACACACACACACACACACACACACACACACACACACACACACACACACACACACACACACACACACACACACACACACACACACACACACACACACACAGACACACACACACACACACACACACACACAGACAAGCACACACACACACGCACACACACACACACACACACACACACAGACACACACACACACACACACCAGACAACACACCACAGACACACACACACACACACACACTCACAGACACACACACACACACACACACACAGACACACTCACAGACAAGCACACACACACACGCACACAGACACACACACACACACACACAGACAGTGTGACTCAGGCCCAGCTCAGTGTGATGATGTATGTGGGGGGCGGGGTCACTGAGTTCATGACAGTGTGGAGGACGGAGCTGTGACATCATCAAACTGTCAGTGTGTGTTGGGATGTGATGGGAGGAGTCAGGGCTCACCGTGACGGCCCAGGATGAGGTTATGGTCCAGGTTCTGCTGTACGAACTCACAGCATTCTCTGAAGGCCTGTCTGCAGCGAGGGAGTTTTCTGAATATCTGCTCAGCGAACTTGAGGCAGGTCACGCTCTTTGGGATGTACTTCATCCCCTGCTCACAGCAGGTCTTCAGTGGACCGTAAGTCTTGGCTGTTCACACACACACACACACACACAGACACACACACACACACACACACACACACACAGACAAACTGTTATCTGTCTGTTCTGTCCTCCTGTGTCTGTCCACCTGTGCTGTGTGTTCAGACTGCAGCTAAGACTGAAGACTGAAAAAGACACTTTGCTTTCTGTTTTGAAGGGTATATATCATATACATAACTCCCCTGTGAACTGGTGAAGGCCACTGGTTTTATCAGGTTCCCAGAGCAATGGGAAAGAAACTGATCTTGTTGACATGGAAGACTAAAGTAAACTTCATCCCGACGAGGATGGGATTCGAACCCACGCGTGCAGAGCACAATGGATTAGCAGTCCATCGCCTTAACCACTCGGCCACCTCGTCCTCCTGTCGGGCCAGTGTAAAGGAAAAAGCAGGTGTGCGTCTCAGGAGGTTTTCTCGTAGGTACAGGAACATACAGGAGCTACATTTGGCCCTTACACCTGGAAAATCTGGAAAAGTGAATGAACAGAAATGGAAGTTTTGGAAGAATCTTTCCATTTATACGAGTGTTTTCTTTTCCATAAGTGGCGGCGGACCATGATGTGGGTTTATTATACTGCCCGCATCATCTTTGGTCAGTAAACTTCATCCCGACGAGGATGGGATTCGAACCCACGCGTGCAGAGCACAATGGATTAGCAGTCCATCGCCTTAACCACTCGGCCACCTCGTCCTCTGGTTGTCACATTTCTAAGGAAAAAGGCATTCTGGGTAGTAAACCCAGGAGACTCTCAGAACTTTGACATCGACTTGGTACCAAGGTATCGGTTCTCGTGACATCCCTACTTTGATGAACGCTCTCTGGGGAATTAGCTCAAACGGCAGCACATTCTCTGTTGATGACATCATCATGTGTGAAGAACAGGTTATATCTTCCTGCTGTCACATTAATGAATACAAATAGAAAAGACCTTCTCTCTGCCCTGAAAACCAGAGACTAGTCTTAAGAAGGCGTTCAAACAACTACACAACTACAACAACTACATGTAACACGAGCAGCGTATTCATGCAGTTTAACTGTCATCACAGGAAATGACAAAATAATTGTTGCAGTGATAAATTCCCACAGTTGTATGATTTTGTCCGGGAGAATCATAAACCTCCGAGCAGCATGGTCACACAGATCGGCGAGGTGGCTCGATATTTCTGTTATCTTTTAGTCAGACTGGCTACGATGGCTAGGCTAATATGTTAGCTGAGGCTAGTTCTCGTAATCGCTTTGGTTACATCGCAATATATATGAAATAATTTTACAATCGGTGTCATGAAGCATCACTCGTAAGCTTCATCTGAAGTGAATAAACGATGGAGAAAATGTTGACAGGTGAAGCTGAGGGACAGGTGGAGTCTCACCTTTTTTCTCCTTCTCCTGATCAGTCAGAGCTCGCTTTGGACGAACCACTGCTGTGCACGCCTCACCTGCACACACACATACTGACTGAACACCCTCCGCTACACACTTCATTTCATCCATCATCAAAACCACCCAGTGTGTGCTGATTGATTGATTGATCGATTGACATACTGCTGGTAATTGGCTTGACGTTGGCATTGGTGATGAAGGTGAGGCCGGCCAATCGGAAGACATCTGCGTTGTTTTTGCCGCCGCCTCCGCCACAGCCCAGGTCGCTGTGTTCGATGTGACGCAGCACCTGCAGGCCACCGTACGTCCTGTTACTGAGCAGGTTTCACACAAACTCCACACAAGTTACACAAATGAGACACGATTCAACAGGTGGTGATGTTGTGAAAACAAACAGAAAGAAATGTCCTCTAAAGTCAAATGGCATGTTTTTGGCGTTACCGTGGAAACGGGGTCTTTGTAATTGGGTCGTAGTGTAAAGAGGGCGGTGTCTACAGCAGACAGAGCCAACAGTCCTTCCTGATTGGCCCTGATGTCCAGCTGGAGATTATCCTTTGGCTTGTAGGCCTGTCTACGAAATGACAGATCAGTCTGACACACACACACACACACACACACACACACACACATACACACACACACCAAATCACAACACCTCTGAGATGATGGTCTATGGCTCGGCCCTCCACACATCAACCACCGCAAAAAGCTAGTCTCCACCACGCCAAAATGACACTTTTTATGATGGGAATTTGATCCATTTGACTGAGCATCATTTGGAAGCCAACAACAAGAAAACAACAAGTAAACAAGAAAAAGTAAACATTAACTTGTAAGTAACAAGTAAAAGCAACAAATAAACAACAACCAGACAACAAGTAAACCACATGTAAACATGTAACATGATAACCAGCCAGAACAGCTGCTGTTAGCAGCCTCGTACGAACCCGTCCACCCAGGCCAGAGGAACAGTCTCATCACACACAGACAGCAGTGTCTGTTTGTACCTGGAGTCCGCTGACACACTTGTGTCTGACGTCTATCCAGACGGAGTCGGCCACCAGCTCGGACGTCCCCTCTCCGTACAGGATGTAGTAGACCAGCAGTCTGATGGACGGGACCATGGAGCCCGTCACAGGGAAGTTCAGAGTCTGTTTGTTATCAGAAGCATCGACGAACCTACGACTGCCAAAATGCACCACCTTCCCTTTAGACAGCACCTGAGGGGAGCCGCACAGAGTGATGTCATCAGTAACTACGGTAACAGGACAATCAGTGATGGCGTACAACACCAGCTGTGTCTTCTCACCAGGTAACTGAGGACTCTGATGGGCAGGTAGGAGGGTGTTGCTGAGTACACGTTGATATGGGCAGATTTTCCCACCTCCAGGCTGTGGCCGGGCAGCGGGGGGTCGATGTAAATGTAACGCTCGTTTTCTGAGTGATAGGCCGCCGCCGTCAGAGTCAGACTGGCCTGACTGGCTGATGGGAGGGAAGGGTCTGCCGTCTCAAACTGTCAACAACAGGACAACAAGTAGCCAACAAGAAAACAACATTAAAACATTAACAGTACTTCTTTTAAATGTCTACTTAATTAATGATTTATTATTTTATCTCATTTACACTGACGTTTAAAGTAAACATTAACAGGTAAACGACAAGTACAGGAAAGCAAGATAAACAACAAGTAAATAACATGTAAATAACATGTAAATACTAACAAGTTAACAACAAAAAGCAAACATTAACTTGTAAATAACAAGTAAAAGCAACAAATAAACAACAACCAGACAACAAGTAAACCACAGCATGTGAACAATAAGACCAACCAACATGATGAGTTAGAGGATGTTGACTATAAAAACAAGATGGGAGAAGAAACACCAATAAAAGAAATGAAATCCTGCCCCTCCTCCTCACCTGCAGCACCGCCCTGACCGCTCTCCTCGGCGTGTTGCAGACGAAGACAGCGAGGCCGTCTGACTGGCTGGCGGCATTGTCAGAACAGAGCATGTTCTCTGTCTCCATCCCCTGTCTGTACAGGTCTTTCTGCACCAGCTGAACTGGAACCCGGTTCACCGGCTTGTTCAGGTGATCCTTCACCAACACCTGCAGAGACAGAGACAAATTGTTGTCAGTTATTTCTTAGTTTTTTCTCTTGGTTATTTAGAATGATCAACAATCCACCGTACAGTTTCTTTTGGAAGAGGAGTACAAGTACAACACTAATTAAAGTTAATGAATATGGACACAGCAATCTGACAGCCCACCTGGATGTTATAAGGAAGTCCAGGTTTGATGAAGGGGGGCGTTGAAACCAGACTCAGAGTGAAAGGTGATTTGACAAATTTCACAGAAGCAAACTCCACCTCCTGAGAGATACCACCTGAGACACAAAGAGAGGGAGGGTGTGTGAGTGTGTGTGTGATCAGTATATGAGGCCCAAACCAGGACCACCTGGGTGAGGACTACCGGACTTCTTGAGTTGATGAAGACTACCAAAGAAACGAGGTCGAGTAAGAGGACCACCTTATACGAATTCCACCTGTCTTCATGAGCTGACAAGGGACTACCTGAACAAGTGTAATAAGTGTATGTTGTTGCACTACATGATGAACAGGATGTTATATTTACCTGTAAAATTGCATATAGATTTCGCTGAGACTTTTATTTTGACACTATTTGCGGGATAAGTTTGCGAAGTATTTTCATGTTCATATAAACGTTTTATTGTGTTCATAAAATAATAGGTACGAGAGTTGACAGGATCTTATGTATGGTTGCTCACTGTTTCATAAACGGGAGATTTTTCTTTGGTGTAGCAGGAAGTGCCGTTATAGGTTTATTTTGAAAAAGTTGTACTTGCTGCGCTCGTGCGAGCGGTACTTCCTCTGTCACCGGACTTTCTCCTGGGAAGGTAAGCATGTGTCCCCCTGTGCCTATTTTCAATCATTTCACACGAGTATTTGATGTTCACTTACGTGCAGTGAATGTAAGAGCAATGTAACGTCACTGTGATTATTTTGAGTAAGAGTTTTGGTTGTTTTTAATGCATAAATTCTATAGTTAAGAGATAAAGTTGTCGAAGTTTCGAGTAGCAGCGCCACCGTGTAGCCGCCGTGTAGCATCCATGTTGTTACTGCAGAGCTACCTCATCCTTTAAGTAACACAACGCAGAGTGAGATCCACTACACAAGGACCACCTAGACATGGACTTTCTGACCTAATGAAGTGACGAGGACTTTCTGATCAAGGAACACCTAACTTTATGAGTTGTTGATGACTACTTAGAGAAGGACCACCTGACCTCATGGGTTCATTAGGACTATCTAAACGAGGACCACGTGACTTTTTGAACTGATAAGAACTACCCGAACAAGGGCTATCTGACTTCATCAGCTGATGTGATGTAAATGTCTTTACAGTTACAATGTGAGGAGAAAGTTGGTCAACATCAGGAAAGTCTCAGGGCTACGAGTTGGATTGACATTAGGGTAAGTGTTGGTGGTTATGTGTGTACCTCCGTCCTCCTGCAGCAACACAGCTATGTACAAGTACTTTCCAAACAGGCTGTTGAGGTTTTTTGGTCCGTCGTGTTTGGACAGAATCTCCCCCATGTTCACAGTCACATCCACTTCACCTGATGAGGACAACTGAAGCAGACACACAGACACTGCTAAGCCTGGGTAGCGTATAATGTTTCAATGGTGCCAATAACTTCTACAAGTTTCTGTAGAAATAGATAGATAGATAGTTAGATAGATAGATAGAAAGATAGATAGATAGATTCTGTTAACAGTTATATATCAAGCCAGTGCGTTGCCATTTGTGTTTCTTACTCTGTCTCTTCTGACAGAGTTGGGGATGATAACTGGAGGATCTTTCCCACTAACATAGCCGTATCGCAGAAACACCTCTGCGTCAGCCACCGGAGCACCGTGGAGATACCTGAGACAGATAAGAATAACATTTGTGTAACAAACAGCTGAACAGATCATTTGAACCGTTTGTGTTCCACATGTCTGAACAGGCTGACTGATGGCAGTTCTTCACCTGGCAGACACCTTAAAGTGAAATCTGTTGAAGTGTCCGTAGCTGATGTAGTTTGCTTGTGGCTCCACAGAAATGGAGAAACTGGGAAGAACTAATGCAGGATAATAACAGTTAATAATTTACATGTTACACTTTATACTTGACATTATTAATACTACCGGTTTGGCCACTGGTACAATAATGTAACATACTCCATACCATATTCTCTAACTTCAAAGTCTGTTCTTGCTTTTGTGGTGAAGGTGTCTGAGTAGGAGGCTTCAATGGACCAAATCCCCAACCTGGAATCACATCACAAACAGTCTGGAATATCCATAACAACAACACACACGGCATGCAATATCCAAAATGCCATTACACACAGCCTGGAGTCACAGTTAAAACATGAAAACAGCCTGGCATCACCTTTATGATAATGCAGACAGCATGCAATCATATAAAATTACAAGAAGCCTGGAAACACACTGACAGTCGGGAGGACCGCGACATTTCCCGGTGGCCTGAGAGTCGGTTTGGCCTGCGCCCTGAACAGTTATCTTAACCAGCAATGGAGTCAAATTACCAGCTGGAATTATTGTTTCTGTCCGGCCCTGCTGACAACATTACATAGTCATAGTAAGTTTGTTTTTTAAAGTTCTTACTTTGGTTTGATGGGGATCTTGAAAGGGTTTTGCATGGACGGGATTCCATTATTGACATCAATCATCTCCACAATATCCACTGTTACATGATCTGGGTCCTGTGGGGGACAAAATTAGTCATCTGAGATTACTTTGAGTTGAAAGAAAACATTGCGAAACATGTTGCAGTGTGTCACTGCCTCTTTCTGGTCCTGCGGATCACTCACCTTAAAGGTCAGGAAGACACTGCGATCGGCCGGCCTCAGCTCTTGGTTCAAGGAGAACGCCCTCACTTTGACTGGACACACACATTAAATTAGAGCTATAGCCGACTTTATGAGTTGACAAGGACAACTTGAGTTTATGAGGACTACTATGAGGAAAACCACCTGAACAGGGGTCACCTGCCTTCATGAGTTGATGAGTATTATCTAAGGACCCCTGAACAAGGACTACTTGAATGAGGACCAACTAATGTCATGTGATGTCAAGCACCACCTGAACAAGATTGATGAGGACTAATTAAACCACCTAACTTTATGAGTTGATGGGGACTTCCTGAACAAGGACTACTTGAGCAAGGCCCACCTGACTTCAGGAGTTGTTGATGACTGTCTAAACAAGGACCACCTGATTTCATTATTCAGTTCATCAGGACTACCTAAATGAGGACCACCTAGACGAGAACTACACGATTTAATGAACTGATGAGGACTGGCTGAACAAGGGTCATTTGAATTCATGAGTTGATGATAAATATCTAAAGGAAGACCACCTCAGCAAGGACTACCTGATCCATGAGTTCAAGACTACAGACATTAAGATTACAGCTACCTGAACAAGGGTCATCTGACTTTATGAATTGATGGGACCACCTGATCAACAAACACTTGACATTTTGAGGTGATGAGGACTCTCTGAACAAGGACCATCTCAGCAAGCACAACTGGGCGTCATGAGTTGAAGAGCACTACTTTAATGAGGACCACCCGAACAAGGATCACCTTTCATTATGAGCTGACAAGAACGACCTGATTTAGGACTAGCTGGAATTATAATTACGAGTTGCACCAGACTCGATGAGGATGACCTGAGTGCACAATTAAACAGTGACTGGCATGCAACGATTTTGAGACACCTCCATCCATTGCGAGTTATCCAAGTCAGGAAATGAAGGGTCTGAAAGAGGATGAGTCTGGATTGGAACACATTTGATGACTAGTTTTATTGCTCACCACTTTGATGTGGGGTGTACAGCGGTTTGTCGGTCTGGATGAACAGGAAGCCGTTGGACCGTGTCACAGGAACAGACACGTGGCCATTGACCTCTGCTGATTGTGATTGGACGTGGAGGATCACATTATTTACACTCTTATCCAGCTGATGTGTGAATAGCTACAGAAAAACAGATAATAGGAACATCATGATTAAATTCTCATGTTAGGATAAATGTTAATAAAGTTACAGTTGTCTGCCCCTGAGTGGATCATGTCCCACCCGGACTTTGGCGATGGCCTGATGGTTGTTCCCGGCCGTGAGACGCACTTCCTCCCGAGCCAGAACTCTGTGATTTTCAGCCATGGAGGTCCTCAAGAACACGTGGACAGTCACGTCCTCCGTAAACCCAAACAACTGCAGCAACACTGTCTCCGTGGCATCCAAACACAACGAGAGTGGAGCTGTTATCAGAAACCTGAGAGAGGACGAGACACGGCAACTTTATTTCTTTAATGTGATGTTTTTGGTTGTATATTCAGTATTTGATATTGGGGTGGAACATAACAGTGAAGGATCATTCTATAAACCAATGAAAAAATACATGATGGAGGTAAATGCTGTGTGAGTTGACGGATTGCATGTATGTTGACATGTTAACCAAAAGTTGGTCAGATCAATGTAAGTTTACTGTATTTCACCAGGATAATTCATTCAGTATCAGCACTGCTTCACTAGGGAGTCTGGGTACATGTATATTAAAAACAAAAAGACAGTTAAAACATTTCAAACAGTCAGTACATGCAGTGTTACAGCTTCCCTGTGGAGTTCTGTAACAAACAATCACGGGGCAGTTTGTCTGTTAACAGCTGAGTTTCTGTACTGAAGCAACTGTTTTAATTGAATATTTTAAACAAATTAACAGAACGGTTCAAGAAAACCATCAGTTACCACAATGCATCATGTAGTTTAATGCTGGTTTTTTTTTTCAATGATGCACGACTTCCTCTACCAGTTTAACCAGAGCAGTAATTAATGAGTAGTAGAAGAAAACAGCATCAACTTACGATCTGCTGTCAGCCTTCGTCCTCCAGCAGAGACAACAAAAACACATCAGGAGGAGACACACCTTCATCCTGAAGATGAGGAGAAGACGCACACTGAGCCCTGAAAACACACAATAAGCTCTGCAGGCACACACTGACTCAGAACACTGAGCGCCAGAGACAGAGAGTTAGATTTTATTAGTTATTGATCACCTCAGCTATTGCCAAATACCTGCAAGTCATCAAAAAACAGGACGAGCAGGAACTTGCTCTGCTTGTGTGTGTGTGCGTCCCAAAGGTGAGTTTACTCAGCCTGTGTTTTCTGATCTTACCCAATAGTGCTGGCTCTGAGGTTTCCTGTTATCAACCGGTCAGTCTGTCATCCAATCAGAGAGCAGACTCTCAGATTTACTGTTTGTTGTTCTCTCTTCTCTCTGCAATAAAAAAAACATGAATATGTATCAAGACGTTTTTGGTTCATCAGTCAGTACGGTGCAGTGAGAAAATCGAGACAGGCACGGTTAAAAACATTCGTGGTGCAGGCCAGCCCGGTTCTGGAAGGCTGTCGGCCCTCGATGGATCTCCTCTTCCTGTGGCTGCTCCGTGATGGGTCCCCACAGAGCAGGATCTCCAGGGATTGTCAGTGTGGACCCTGATGCCGCTCACAGTCCCAATTGGTGGTGCAGAAAAAATAAGAATTAAAAAAAGAAAAATGCACCAAACTGAGGGACGACTGATCAAACTCCCTATCTTTGAAGCTATCACAAAGTCCAATTGTCTATCTATTCCTTGATCATTTATATTCCTTTAGTTCATAAGTGTTCACAGATCAAAAGAATCAAAAGTGTTTCTCATAAAAGTATTCGAGGTTGTGAATATTGTTGCGTGAATTCCATCTCAGACAATCAGGTAACTTCTTCTTCTTCACTTCTTCCAACATAAAAACACGTATTTCAAGTTCCGGCTGGAGGGCTTTGTTTGTTTGTTTGTTTTCGTTAGTTTACTGCCCGCTTATGATCCTGACCCTATATCCTGACCAATGAGTGAGCCAGGTAAACTTTTCTCTGCCTAGAAACAACACAAAAAAAGTAAAAAATGATTTGGATAATTCTATTTTGTTGTTTTTAGCTTTATTTCTAAAGCTGCTATAGCTAGCAACCAGCCACCTCTGTTGGCCAAAACAAGCACAACACTAGACATTTTTTCTTAATTAACAGTTAAAAACGGGGACATTTGAGGGGACAGCTCCAGCCGGGGACAGGCCACCAATAACGGGGACTGTCCCTGGAAAATAGGGACGTCTGGTCAACCTACATTAGTAAAGTAATAATTATGATACACTAAAATGACGTAATTATACATAAATGGCTATATATTATATATGTACAGACATTATAGACAAAGGTTTTAACGCACAAAGCTAACATTAAATCACATTAACATAAACATAAGAAATGCCAAAACAGTAAATATATCATATATATATATCATGATATATTTACACACACTTTATTTGCTTTATGGGACTGCATTGAAGTTCTTGATTATATATCAATATATATGATTCAATAATAATATATATCCTGTTAGCTACTCATTTATTTTTATTTATTTATCATTACTTATTCACTTATTACCTTTATTATTAATGTTTTTATTTTTCTGTTTGTCTTTTGTTTCTCTCCCTCAGTCTCTTCAACCTGAGTAGGGTGGGGGTGTTTGTTTAGTTTGATCGGTTTCTCTCCTGTACATAAATAAAGATAAAAGAATCTTCTATCCTCCGTCAGTATGACCAGCACAATGAGAGGGTGAAGGTGAAGTGGTGAAAACTTTATTCAGAGTATATAGGCTCAAATACAATGTCCTTTATAGAAGTCAACATAGCATACTTCATATACTGATACACATGTCATATATGACCTTGTACATATACATATACAGAGATAAAGTGACAGTTGAATTAAATTCTGGGCATAAAACACATCTCATGTTTATATTCACATTCTTTCCTTTGACAGTTTGGAGCTTATTTACATCAGATGAAGAGAGAAGGACGACGATCAGCCGTCAGCCAGAGGGACTCATCAATCAATTCTTCATTTCTATTGATTATTTAACAGCATATTTATACAGAAATCATGTTGAAACATTTAGATTCAAATATTTTCTAACTGCCCGAGACCCAATTTGGGCCTCAACCCATAGCTTAAAAACCACAGACATAAACCAGCAACAATATTAATAATAAAGATAATATTAAAATATTTTAATTTTCAGGCTCTGCCTAGTTTAGTAAGTGATGAGCTTCTTCAGAGGACACTGGGAGTTTCTGGTAGATTTACTTCAACTGTCACTCAACGTTATTACACTTTGTTCAGACGACTCCATGTGACTCTGTGAAGAAGCTAACATTTGTGTCTTTCCGTTTTCACGTCATATTAAACCTTGAGTTTAGAGCAGCCGACATTAACACAGATACAGTCCGGTCCGCTCGTCACAGCAGCTTCACTCTGTTCGTCTGTTCTGGTTTCACTTGGTCACAAACTGCTGCAGAATCTCATTTATTCTGTCTCTCTGCTTAAAATAAAAATAGTTGCACAAAACACCTTCAGTTAAGATGTTCCTTAATGTATGAGTTAAGGTTTCCTTAGAATAACAGTTAAAATAAAACTTTAGCTGTTTTGTGCAACTGTCTTTATTTTAAGGAAACCTTAACTCAGACTTTAAGGGAACTCTTAAGGTGTTTTGGTCAACAATATGAAACAGCTGTTAGCACATCAGCGCTCTGTTAGCATGTCAGCGCTCTGTTAGCACGTCAGCGCTCTGTTAGCACATCAGCGCTCTGTTAGCACGTCAGCGCTCTGTTAGCACGTTAGCGCTGTGCTAGCAGGTTAGCGCTGTGTTAGCACGGAGCAGCTGGATCTTCTAGCAGAAACTCAGTGGATTCCTCTGAAGGAGCCTCAGTGCTCAGACTGTAGCGCCTCCTAGTTTTCAACACACACATTACAACCTGTAACAGAGAACCATTAGCATGCAAATCAAAGCACTACATCATTATCATCATCATCATCATCATCATCATCATAGATACATGATTTATACTGACATGAACAGCTGGAGTCACTAACACTGTCCCATCATGCAACTGTTGTGTGAACCACGGCTCTGCGTCAGTGTGTGGGTGTGTATGTGTGTATCTGAGTGTGTCTGCTGTCTGACTTATATGTGTGTGTGTGTGTGTGTGTGTGTGTGTGCACCCCCCCCCCATGTTGGTCTGCAGTTAGTGTTATTGATCTGTCTGATTTTATGTTGAGATAATGTCACCTGTCCAAAGTCGACTCTCAGTAAATTATTACCCAGGTTGCCAAACTCCACGTCCAGCTGTGACCTGAACCCAGCGCCAGTGAGGGGGAAACGAAAACCATCTGATCCCTTTGACCTCTGTGAAACATCTGGGAACATCTGCTGAACGAACTCCAGGATGACATTAACTACAGCCTGAAGGAGCCTGGTACAGTATGTGACGTCATCCTTCATGTTTCACTCAAGTCATTACATCGTTTACACGAGGAGCAGCACAGACACCATGACGTTCTGAAATAGATACAGGAGCTATTGTCATTTTCATCTTTTTGTGACTTGTGGATTGGATTGTGAAACATTTCCTTCTCTCAGTTATTAAAGAGATGAAATGATTAAATAGAAGGACTGTATGTATGACAGAGGGTTTGAGTTGTGGCGTGTTGTGAGTCTCGTTGTGAGGATGAATGATGTGAAGAATTGTTTATGAATGTAAGGAGATGATGTGATGATTTAACAGACTGATGGTCGTGTTCCACATCCTACATCAGGGACGCTTGTGCAGTGTGATGTGTGTCAGTGTCCGACTCAGGACTGCTGGTCTAACACTTCACGTCTCAGTGGACACTTTTCAGTTGTTCTGGTTTTGGCTCAGAGAGATGACATCATCATCTTTAATCCAGATACAGGATTTAACAGGCTGACTTCATCTGTGAGCAGCCAATCAGAGGCTGGACGTGCTGACTCTGATCAGCTGGCTACCTGGGTAACAACCAGTAACGACCAGTCCAGCAGGTTCCTGTCTCAGTATTTGATCTTATTTTGAAGTTAAAATGTGTGTGTGTGTGTGTGTGTGTGTGTGTGTGTGTGTGTGTGTGTGTGTGTGTGTGTGTGTGTATGTGTGTGTGTGTGTGTGTGTGTGTGTGTGTGTGTGTGTGTCTGTGTATGTGTGTGTGTGTGTGTGTGTGTGTGTGTGTGTGTGTGTGTGTGTGTGTGTCTGCCGGCCCCTCCTCTCCCCATCACAGCACCATGGTGGGTATATGATGGACCAGAGACGCCGGGTGAGGCACAGCAGTCAGCTGTGGTGGGTGAGGAGGAGGTGAGTGAGCCGAGTGCACTCCTCCTCCCCCTCCTCCTCCTCCCACCACCACCAGGCCCCCTCCCCCCTGGGCCCCGGGGTCTCCGGTGGGCCGGTGCCTGGCGCTCTTCTGGTGGGCCCGCAGGCCGGCCAGCTGCGAGTATGCCGACTGGCACACGTGGCACTTGTACGGGCGCTCACCGGTGTGCAGCCGCACGTGGTTCCTCAGTGTGGACGACTGGCTGAAGCGGCGGTTGCAGAAGCGGCAGACGAACGGCTTGTCCAGGGTGTGGATGCGCATGTGCGAGCGCAGGTTGCTGCGGGAGTTGAAGCCGCGGTGGCAGATGACGCAGCGCATGCGGCCCAGACTGGAGGAGGAGGAAGAGGACGAGGAAGAGGAGGAGGAGGAAGAGGAAGAGGAGGAGCCCTCACAGGTGTGGAACTCATCTGGTGGAGGAGCAGAGATGTTTCAGGACTGACAGTGAAAACGTCTCTTTAAAATGAAAAACTGGCATAAAAATCTAAATGGATTTAAAGATGTGGAGGTAAAAATGAAACACAGATGTGGATTAATCCACCGCTAAAAATAGTCCCCAACAAATGCTTCATTGTTTTCTATATCCTCCTGTTTGTTTAGAAAACTACAGTTTCCTGTTTGACACTTTTTAAATGAAACTTTTTATCTGTGAGGAGTTTTTAAAATGTGAAGAGACGAGTCAATGATAATAAGAAAAATATAGAATATCACCAGCTCTTATTTTGAAATCAGGATTTTGTTTTTATTCATCCTGTTTCTTTGGCCTTTATCCTTTGAGACATGATTATATAGAGGGGGAAAGCAACACCCTGCTGTCTTTAAAGAAGGTCTTTGACCTCTCACTCTCTTTTGTTTTATTTTGTAGTAAGTGGACATTGAGTTGAGTCGATTTTGTGACACGTCAAGTCAAGAATAGACTTTCATGCTCAAATAATGTCAATTCATGTCATCTTTTGTCACTTAATCATCATATCATCTGACCATCAGTTTCTATAAGATTTTTATCAGGATGTCACTTTGACGATGTCGTTGTTTGGAGATACAAACGTTGTCGACAACAGTAAGGTCTTAGTAAGGAGTTATTGTCTCCATGAAGCACGGAAGCTTTTATTCTGAAATAATGATAAATTCACAAATCAATAATCAATCATCTTTACCGTTCTTGCTCTTCTTGCTCTGTTCGTCATCTCCTCCGGGAATTCCAGGGATCCCCAGGAAGGTGTTGTGGGAGTTTCCGTACCAGACCAGCAGCTCCTGGTCCGGAGGGATGGTCTGTGGAGAAACACCTGGAGGTTCATCACCTTTAACTGGTTTCACTGGTTTTTCTTCAATCAGAACCACAGATCGATATCTGTAAGTGATTTGTATTTCTTTGTAATTGAAATGTTGAAGGTTTGTAGTCTGGGAGTGGAGCTGAGGGAGACGGTTCCTCTCTGTGCCAGCAGAGGGCGACACAGACCGGGTCCTCCAGCTGCTCGTCCTCCGACCACCAGACGAGGATCAGTCCAACGTTTCAGACGCTTCCCCTTGTCTCTTTGATTCTTTTATCTTTTATCACTGGAGGTGCTTTTCACCTATTTTTATTCTGGTTCAGTGAATGCCTCTTGTTGCCCAAAGGTTGACTACATCCTGTATTCAATTAATTTGCAGCTTGTAACCTGAGTTTTAAGAAGTGCTCTATAAATACTGACAGATGGATAAACTTTATTGTCATTCAAGCTACACACCAAACAGTGCATCATTAATATTCCATTATTAGATAAAAAGAAAGCTATCTGGATCAACCTCTAACCTCTAAGGTCATCTCTGTGTTCCACTCGGATTATTTACCTTTCATTACTAATTACTTTATTGAATGAGGAGCTTATAAAATACGATGCAGAGCTTTACTGTTAAACTAACCAGCTGTGTGTAAAGTACATAAATCAAAATATCCATTAATACAACATATTATTAATAATATAAAATAATCCTCTGGAAGAGTGTTTCTGTATAATGAGCACTTTTACTTTTGCTGCATTGGAACATTATACAGATGTTATTACGGTGCTTACTACTAATAAGTTACGAGTATTTATATAAAGATAAAAGATCAAAGACAATCTTACAGTAACTCATTAATAAATCATGTGTTTTACACTTTACAATAAGGCTCCTTTTACCAGTAATAAATAATAGAAACTCATTCGTCAGACTAATGAGCAGTGAGCCTTAACTTGATCTTGCCAAATAGTGAGCTGCATCAATGTATGAAAACTGTGTTATAACTTGTTTATTGTTGCTTTATAAAGTGTAACAACTGAATTAATAACCTCATTATAAACATTCATGAATCCTTCATAAGGGTCGTCTTATTGTGAAGTGGCACCGTTCTTTCATTACCTTCACTGCAGAGACGTACTGAACGTGGGATTGTAACTTGCTTAACTTAACTTTACTTACTTAAGATTTATGTCGAACATTAACTTATTTTTCCTCAGGTTTATTGAGAGAATTGTGTTGTTGCTCTACGCGACTGTAGATTGATTTATTAAGAACTAAACGCTAAGAGTAACCAGCGTTACACTATTACTATAATAATATATTACTATAATGCTATTATTAGTGTTATTAGACGTGTCTCTGAAAAACAACAGCTTTTATTTATACTAAGGTAGGAGTGAAGAGGCGATGCGTTCACTGACCTCCACAGCCTTGTAGAAGATGCTGCTGCCGATCTGGACCACCTCCAGGTTCTGCTCCTGCTCGTTCCTCGCACATTTAATGTAGGTCATCCAGCTCCTCTGGTCCTCCTGACTCGCATCAATGAAATACCTGACTGTCCCGTCCTCGTTGAACACCTGAGGACGAGGACAAACGTGAGTGAGTGTTACAGGTACTTGGCTAATCAGCTAACAGCCAATCAATAATCAGCTAGTTACTTATTTAGTTACCAAACAGTTGTTCATCAAGTTAATTAGTTAGCTAGTTAGCTAGCTTGCGCGCTAGCAAAGAGATAGCTAGGTATTTTGTTACAGCTAACTGGCTTGTTAAATGCAGTAACTAACTAGAGCTGGTCATTAGCCATGCAGTTAGTCATTTAGTGAGGCGGCTGGTCAGTTAACAATCAGTTTAATGCCTAGTTAGATGGTTGGTTTATTTAGTTAATTAGATGCAAGCTATGAGTCAGCAAATTGGTTTGTTGCTTTCTTAGTAAGCAAGCTAGCTGGGTAGCAGTTAGTTAGCTGGCTAGCTTGTTGGATGGTTAGCACGCTGTAAGTCAGCGAGTTAGTTTGTTAACTTTGAGTCAGCAAACTGGCTAACGTTCAGTTAACCAGTAAGTTAGTTACAGGTAGTTATAACAAGTTACCGGCTTGTTTTTTGTTGCAGTCAGTTAAATAAAATAAAATAAATAAAATGTTAAATGTCTCCTGCTGAATGTCACACAGAGAGAAATATAAATATAAATGTGGCGTTAATAAATGTGAACATCACTTACCTCCCACATGAGGTTGTTGTTCTTGTACAGGTCGATGTGTTCAGGTGAGATGAGGCGTCCAGTGAACGGCCCCATCTCTGTTCCCGCTTTAATCCACGTTTTAGAGAAAATACCCAGACCCTCTCCTGAAACACAGCAACACAACAACTCATTAATAACACTGAGCTACTGCAACCAACATGCAGCCTCACATTTAAAACTACACACACCTGCATCTTACGCCAATGAATTTTTGAAATAAAAGAAGAATACAGAGACGGTGTGACTGCAGGTTATAAATGAGATTTCTGCAGATTTGATCAGTTTTGTTTCCTTCATTTCATTCAGATCTCAGACTGAGACTGACGAGAAGCTGCTGCGTAACGTCGGCTGGATCCAGGCCACGTATCACTTTACACTCATCGATACAATTATCCTTTTATCTCACGTTCGTCTTCTATAGAGTCAAGCGGATCAATGCGCATGGGTCCATATATACTAACACAGCATCTACAGTCTGTTTCTCAACCAGTCGCAAGAGAGGAAAATATCATGTTTGAGTTTCATGTTTGAGGTTGAGACAAAACAGAAAACTGAAGTTATTCACTTATTAGCAAGACATTTTGTCAATCTGGCCATCGATGTGATGTTCTATAAAAAACAAAAGAAGCTCATTTCACATGAATACACATCAGACACAGAGAGAGAGAGTTTACCTGGGACTGAACTCTGCGCGATTATCACCTCACTGGGTAAAACCAGGCTGGACAACTTCTGCACCTCTGAACACAAACACAAGTCAGACACGTTTATTCATCCGTCAGAAAAACAGAATATGACAAAGTGACTAATTGTTTTTCCCATAATGAACTCCATTAAGATTTTTCATAAACTGCTGCAGCAACAGTTTGTAGGTGAATCCAAACAGAACATAATGTTCGTGCATTTTCCCATAATCGGTGAAAGCAACATGAAACCGCGCTGAAAAAGAAAAGAAAAAGAAAAAGCTTGGCAAAGAGAAGGAAGGAGGTTAAACGCTGTTTTTTTTTTCTCCTTCAGGACCCGCATTATGTCCACACCCCACCTCCCCCACCTCCCCCACCTCCTGCACCTCCTGCACCTCCTCCACCTCCTGCTGTCCACTGAGCCGCAGAAGGAAGAAATCTACATTCATGACGCATTTAGGAAGAGAGAAAATTCAAAAAGTGATTTTGTGTGCGATATAGGAAGAAGGGAGGACGTTATAAAAAATAACAAACAAAATAAATAGAATAGAATAAATAAAAATGTAAAGAGAAAAAGAGTAATTCCTTCTCCTCCTTTATGTCACAAGCTGTTTCACGCTCCGTCCGGAGCGTGAAACAGCTTGTGACATAAAGGAGAAAAGAGATTTAAATGGAGATAAAAGTGCTGGAAGATTATCTCAATTTAAAACTAGAAAAGAAGAAAAGAAAAAACTCATAAATGCCACGAGGAGAAATGTGAGGCGCTTTGAGAAGCAGCGGATTCACTTCACGCGGCGGCGCGCGCAGGGAGAGGGATTTAAATTCCCGCAGAGGGAAATAAACCCAAAAAAAACCCATCAAACGTGACGATCGTGACACCGCAGTCGCGCGCTTACGGCTTTTCCTAAATTGTTCCTAACGAATTTTACCGAAAACGGAAACGAATTTTACGTGAAAATGAAGTAGAAATTAAAACAAGTTTGTGTCAGAGGAACGTTATTTTATTCCCGGGTGAGATTTGAGCTTCAAAAGCACCGAATGTAGAAATTATTAATGAACACGTGCAGCACATTCACATAATTTTAGGGATTATTTAGAGATCAAAAGTTGGCGGGTTAATTAATTGATTAGTTAATTAAAGAGCGTTTTGTAGAATTTCTGCGGCGGCGCGCGGGTGGAAGGACTAAACCTGACTCCACACACTCCTATTTAACGGCGTTCAAAGTGTTTGATCGGTTATTGATGGGGTTGAACTGATTGATAATTTCATGAGCAATAATTAAAATAAAGTCAGTTTCTAATTAGGCGGAAGGTTACACTCAGCTCTGGACTCCTTTTTACACCTTTTTAAAAATATATTGACGGAGTTTGAACATCTGTTTAATTTTCTTTATCCAGATTCAACATTCAGTTTTATTCTGCACCTGACATTAATTAATGAATGTAATTAAGAAATGACAGAATCAGTAATTCAGCGCCTGTCTTTTTGTGAATCTTTTTTTATCCGGTCACGTTCTTCATCCGTAAAATGTCGTAAAATTTTACTTTCTTTTTTTTTTTTTTTTACTTTTTTTTCTTTTTATCGCCATTAAACAAACTTTATTAAGCTTTAATTAACATCATGTGTTAAACTGTGGCGGGAAAGGATAAAATACTAGTTCAGCGTCAGAATTTCACTTAATGATCAAAGTGTCATTTTCATCTTTATATGATTCTGCGTCATATTTTATAAGATCGTCACATTTTCTACGTGTAAAATCTCAAATAACAAAATTAACTGAACAAATAAAAATGATTTGCTTAAGTGAAGAAAAAGTTTAAAGTTGTGTAAAAAAAAGAAATTTAATGTCGTATAAAGTTGTTTTGCAGCGTCAGTAGCTGCTGCAGTCTTACGTTAACAATAACCGATCAGATATCGATACGATAAGATTTGATTGATCCTCAGGTGATTTGACTGATGATGAACTGACTGAGCTGAAAGTGAATTTATACATTTATCTCCTGAATCTGGTTCATAACAACAGACTGTTCATTAATTAACTCTAATTGGTTCATTAAGTGTCGTCACTGACCTCCGGAGAAGGACTGCGCGAGAACCTCGGCGGTGAACGCGGTCTTGGGGCTCGCGCTCGGGGCGGTGCGGTCCTCGTGCTGCTGCAGGTGATGCTGGTGCGGGTGGTGGTGGTGCTGCTCGCCCAGCACGTGCCTCCAGCGGCCGTACAGGAAGCTGTGCAGGATGTCCGAGGTGATGATGTCCGCCAGGGAGAGCGGCTGCTGCGGCTTGAAGCCCGGCTTCAGGGCCAGCGAGGAGCCGGGCAGCACGGAGCCCATGGCGGGGCGGAGGGGAGCCGGGGGCCGCGGATGAGCTGCAGCGGGAGTCGGTGTCACGAGACCGGAGGAGAAAAATCCTCCAGGTGAAGAAAACTTAAAAAAAAAATCCAGGAAAGTCTCAAGAATAAAACTCCACTTTTTAATTTGAATTTCAAACAAAACTCAAATGAAAGTTTTTAATGAGCTCGTGAACGTTTCTTCTTCCGGTTCCTCCGTCAATTAAAGGAGAGAAATGAAGCGTCACAAGCTTCAGACAAAATATTATTTGTTAATAGAAGTTATGAAGAGCTGCTGCGTGTGTGTGTGTGTGTGTGTGTGTGTGAGAGAGAGAGAGAGAGAGAGAGAGAGAGAGGGTCTATATACACCCTGTCTGTAATGAGATGTTATCACCTCCTCCAACATTTCTATAAAGAGAGAGAGAGAGAGAGAGAGAGAGAGAGAATGTGTGTGTGTGTGTCCTACACGCGCTGTTGGCGCCGTTTACAGCTCCGGCTCGTGACACCGTAGAGACACTCAATTAGGACTTAATGAGAAAAACAACAATAACAGATCAGACCTCAGATCAGCTGTGAGAGACCTGGTCCTGGTCCTGGCTCTGGTCCTCCAGGTCGGATCAGGGGCCCCGCCTCACTCCACGTCATCAGCAGACAGGAAGTTATCCTCATCATCAATACATCTGACTGGGTTTTTCTCTTATAATCGATTGATGGTTTTTGTTTTGTCTGAGCAACAGTCAAACACACATGATGCGTTCACTGTCAGAGAAAAGTGGGAAACCTGAAACTGCTACCAGAGGAGTTCTGGTGAACCTGCAGCCTGCACCATGTAACCACTCCTGATCCTGACCCTGATCCTGATCCTGACCCTGATCCTGATCCTGATCCTGACCCTGATCCTGATCCTGATCCTGATCCTGATCCTGATCCGGATGCTGATCCTGATCCTGATCCTGATCCTGACCCTGATCCTGACCCTGATCCTGGTTCAGGTTGTGGTTCTGGATCACAGAGTCCATCTGAAAGCTTCAGGTGGAGCTTCAGTGTGTTTCTGCACCAGGTATGAATGTGGTTCTTGTTTCTGATTGGTCGGACTCAGCTGACTTGGTTCTTGTAGTTTTCTCAGGTCAAAGAGCCGCCAGAAAATGAGTCCAACACGTCCAAATGTATGTGGACACTGTGAGTCCATGTTGATCTCTGTGCTGCTCAGGCTCCTCTCCTGGTCTCAGTCTCTCTCCTGGTCTCAGTCTCTCCTGGTCTCAGTCTGTCCTGGTCTCAGTCTCTCTCCTGGTCTCAGTCTCTCCTGGTCTCAGTCTGTCCTGGTCTCAGTCTCTCCTGGTCTCAGTCTCTCTCCTGGTTTCAGTCTCTCTCCCGGTCTCAGTCTCTCTCCTGGTCTCAGTCTCTCTCCCGGTCTCAGTCTCTCCTGGTCTCAGTCTGTCCTGGTCTCACTCTCTCTCCCGGTCTCAGTCTCTCTCCTGGTCTCAGTCTCTCTCCTGGTCTCAGTCTGTCCTGGTCTCACTCTCTCTCCTGGTCTCAGTCTCTCCTGGTCTCAGTCTCTCTCCTGGTCTCAGTCTCTCCTGGTCTCAGTCTGTCCTGGTCTCAGTCTCTCTCCTGGTCTCAGTCTGTCTCCTGGTCTCAGTCTGTCCTGGTCTCAGTCTGTCTCCTGGTCTCAGTCTCTCCTGGTCTCAGTCTGTCTCCTGGTCTCAGTCTCTCTCCTGGTCTCAGTCTCTCTCCTGGTCTCAGTCTGTCCTGGTCTCAGTCTGTCTCCTGGTCTCAGTCTGTCTCCTGGTCTCAGTCTGTCTCCTGGTCTCAGTCTGTCCTGGTCTCAGTCTGTCTCCTGGTCTCAGTCTGTCCTGGTCTTAGTCTCTCCTGGTCTCAGTCTGTCTCCTGGTCTCAGTCTGTCTCCTGGTCTCAGTCTCTCTCCTGGTCTCAGTCTGTCCTGGTCTCAGTCTCTCTCCTGGTCTCAGTCTGTCCTGGTCTCAGTCTGTCCTGGTCTCAGTCTGTCTCTCCAGCAGCTCTGTCTTATGTTTCAGCTCCAACCAGCCGTGGTGGATTATGGGTAAAAACGACGTGTTGCACACATCATGTTCTTCATGTTCCTCAGTTCTCCTGCTGGAGCCGGAACTGTGAAGAATAATGATGATTGATAATAATATTAATAATGATGATTAATAATAATATTAATAATGATGATTGATAATAATATTAATAATGATGATTGATAATAATATTAATAATGATGATTGATAATAATATTAATAACCTGTTTCTGTCTCTCATGGACAGAAATCCTTCGCGCCGCTTCACTTTCACCTGCCTCCATCTTTTACTTCTTTTTCTTTTTCACAATATTTAAAAACAAAAAGGCTGAAAGTCAAGTTTCAGTTTCAGTGAAGCAGCAGCGGAATGTGTGTGTGTGTGTGTGTGTGTGTGTGTGTGTGTGNGTTTCAGCTCCAACCAGCCGTGGTGGATTATGGGTAAAAACGACGTGTTGCACACATCATGTTCTTCATGTTCCTCAGTTCTCCTGCTGGAGCCGGAACTGTGAAGAATAATGATGATTGATAATAATATTAATAATGATGATTAATAATAATATTAATAATGATGATTGATAATAATATTAATAATGATGATTGATAATAATATTAATAATGATGATTGATAATAATATTAATAATNGAGGGGTCGGGGGGGGGGGGCAGCAGTGTGAGTGACAGAGCAGGAAAACAGATTGGAGGACAGATTACCAAGACAACAGCTGCTTTCTTCACCCCCCCTCCTGTCGTCTCTCTACAGGATTATTATTCTCTCTTTCACTCTGATCTGTATTTATGAGCTTTTAAACATTTATTGTCGACACTCGTGAGCGCGACACACACACACACACACACACACACACACACACACTGGTCTCTCTGTCGGTTGAAACATCAGATTTAATTTAATTTGATTCAAACTGAACAAAAATGAAAATGTGACTTTGTTTCTATTTAAATGTTCACGAGATAAAAAATAAAAAATCACCTGAGACAAAAAAAAGAAAAGACTCAAATATAAAAGAGTGAATCTGTTTGAAGTTTATTTTTTAAAGTTTCATTATTTTTTTTTTTTACTGAAAATGAAATTGAACTGAGAGAAAATAAAAAAGAAAGAAAGACATTTATCTGAATCTGTCAGCTGCAGAAAAATCTTTATTCACCCTTAATATCTCAGTCACATGAATTTATATGAAATATTTAACGTATAATCTGAATGTTTCATTGATTTTAAGGAGGAAGATTCAGAATTTAAAATCTTTCTTTTTAAAATGTGCCGCCGATATTTCATTTGGAATTGGGAAATATAAATGTTTATGTAAAATAAATAATGTAAGTAGAAAATACGCTTATGTTTTATTTAGAAAGATTTCTTCATCATGAATCTTCCCGCCGCTCAGAAACTCTTCCGCCGCCTTCCTCCGCTCCTCTCTCGGCTTCAAGGGCTTCGGGCGGCTCGGTGAAGCCTCGGGCCGGCTCTCCGCTCTCCTCGGGCGGCTTCACCCGCGGCTCTCCCCCGCCGCGCTCCCCGGTGCTCCGTGCGTAACGGCTCCGTGCCAAACACGGAGGCTGCGCGCTTTTGTCCCGGGACACAGCGCAGAGAGAAAGGAGGGAAAATCCGGGAATAATGGCAGATTTGCGAATGTTTTTCAATTGAATTGACTCAATGAACGCTGGATTTTCTCTTTTCTTTCTCTCTTTCTTTCCTTTGGAGGAGAGTTTGGCTGCAGCCGCCACGCACGCGGGCCGAGCGGGAATTTATTAATGGAGAGCCGCGTTTTTATTGAAGGAGGACACGCTTTAATGAGCTTTCTACAACAAAAAGCTCTCAGTGAGTGTGTCCCGGTGTCCTCTCCGCCTTTATACGCGCTCTATACAGCCAATAAGAAACCACTTTAGTCCCGAGAAGACGACGGGAAGTCAGGGGGGGCGGGGGGGGGCGACAGGTGACTGGCACGCGTAAAGACAAGAGGACAACAGGAGAGAAAAGAGGAGAGAGAGGGAGACAGACAGAGAGACCCGCGGTGGATGATCTGAGGATGGAGAGGAGGTGAAAGGAGGGGGGCGGGGGTGGTGGGAATGAGCCCAAATGGCGCGCTAATATTGTTCCGCTAACGTGATTAGGCGCTGCGCTGCGGCCTCATTAGTATTCATGCGGCCCGCCGCTATTAATCCCCCTTTAAAAGCCCTTTAATAATCATCAGCTGCCCGGGAATCAAAATCAAACGCTCCCTCTCCTCCTCCTCCTCCTCCTCCTCCTCCTCGTTGTTATTCAAGGTTTTTATTTTCTCACCGTTCTTCATCATCACCATCATCAAGCTCTATCAGACCGACTCAGCTGCTGCGGCTCCTCAGTTTAATGACGTCATTCATTCATTCATTCATTCATGTAGATAAACCAACACATCGCAGCGGCAGGTAAAGATGTGACGTCATCAGACTCTGGTCTCCTGCAGNTTATTCAAGGTTTTTATTTTCTCACCGTTCTTCATCATCACCATCATCAAGCTCTATCAGACCGACTCAGCTGCTGCGGCTCCTCAGTTTAATGACGTCATTCATTCATTCATGTAGATAAACCAACACATCGCAGCGGCAGGTAAAGATGTGACGTCATCAGACTCTGGTCTCCTGCAGGACGCGGTTGGAAAACGCCAAACTTTATTTACAGCTGATCCTAATACACTGTGTTTTTGACTGTGAGACGTTCAAGGACTTGTTGGTTAAAACAGATCAGGCGGACTGGCAGGTTCATTACGAGTCAGGAGAGACACAGCACGTGTCAAGTCTTAAAACCTGGAATGAATTGCCTTTTGTCACTTCCTGTTCCCTGAAGTCTCTAGTTTTTGTTCCTCTGCCCAGCGACAGTCAGAGTGGCGGCCATTTTGTTTTCAGGTTGTCCGTCCGTCTCACTCTCGTGGTCACGATATCTCAGTAAGGCCGTGACAGAATTTCTTCACATTTG